CACATATTGAAAGCAATCAACAATTATCGGTGGAGGAAGAGAGAGATTGAAAGAGAATGAGAGCGACACACACATTTTCGGTTTTGTGAATATGTAATGCTCAGTGGCGGTGAATGCCAATTCACATTTTATGTTAAAAACATCGATTTATTATCCTGAATCGAATTTCGAACAACAAGTGAAACACACACACAAAATGAAGACATGAAAATGCAACACTAAGGCCATAACAGAGGCGACGACAGCAGCCTTGAGCCAAAAAACCAAAAATATTTTCTATTATAAAAACCATATATTTGATGATGATGATGTGTGTATATCGTCGGCGTCGTTATTGTCGTACCCCACAATCAAAGCACACATCATAGCTCGTACACACACAGGAAACAATAAGTAACGACAAAAAACGCAAAAAGGGAACTTCGATAACCTATTACGTACATGCATGACTGACGAACGAACCGAATTGTAAGCGCGCCAAACAAACAAACCCAATCGAAAAATGCAATTCAAATGCTGTGATGGTTTTCGATGAATGTGTTTCTGACTGTCTGTGCATATAAGCAAATGCGTGCAAACAACATATTCATACTTTGAATTTTGAAGTCACAACAAATCTGCAAAATAAATTTAAGACCAATTTCCGATCGTAATTTCTCGAAACATAATTTGAATCCAGTCACCTGTCTGCTACAATTACCATTCGATAGTATTATTTTTGCTCTTTTTACACCCACACCGCATCGCTCACAACGAAATCGGATTTTAGTCAACATGTTTATACTGTTGTTTCAATTCTAAATCTATTCTGGAGGTGTCGTTCAAATTCATTTCAACTGTTTTTTCTATTCGAAATATTTTTTTGTGTAAAATTCGACAAAATATATATATATATATAAATTTTTGCCATTTATTTTACAAAACTAATTTCCCACGTCGAAATCAAAAATTATCAATTCTGATTCAGAATTTCTGAAAGAGAAAAGTGGCAACAATAATGTTCGAAATTGAACGAAAATAGGAGAACAAGTCTGGAATATGGTTTGAATTGAAACTTGAATTGTGTACAATACTGGCAATAGTCTGCTTTCTTTGAGCTTAATTTAAAAATTCATTATGAAGGGACCGTTCATCTACTTTCCATTTTGAAATATCTAGAAAATAAAACGCAAGGAAATGCTATAATTTACTCCATAGGAATTTTGAATATACCATCGTTGAAATGGATTGGCAATAATGCTATGAGATGAGTGAGTTTTCAGCAGTATGTTCATATGCTCGCCCAAAAATCAATGAAGTGCTTTTTCTTCGTTCTTTTAACGGAACGGTTTTTTTTCATCGGCCAAAAGAAAAACTGCTTATCCCCAAAACAAATGTTATTTGTAGTCTTTCTTTTGCGTTTTGTACAATTTGTACAATGATTGGAGAACTTTTGTGCTATTGAACATGGAGAGAAAAAAAGGCCAACAGTCAAAGAGACAAAGTAAAGAGGAAATAACAAACGAGAATTGAAACGAGGAAAACCAAAGACGGATTATATGGTATATTTGAAGAAAACCGGAAAAGCGTAAAGAATACTTGAGCGTATTTTAAATGTTCGGCCTCTTTTGTGCACATTATACGATACACAATTTCACAAATACAATACGCCTGTAAATAGCGTTTGAAGTGAACACAACACAACCATAACACATAACATACATATCGTTCTCTCTATCATTTGCTTGTTGTTTTGTTTGTTTATTTATTTATTTCGACAACTTTTGTGCGAAATAAAAGGCCAAAATCATCATTATCCGCAGATAGAGAATGCGTATTTTTTCTGTTGCTCTCTCTCTCTCTTCTTTGGCGTAAGAATGCAAGTAAAATGGAATTGGAGTGAATTTTCTGTGCTCATCATCATTTTGTTAAAGGATCTTTTGTGTGGAAAATTCTTTCAAGTTGATAAACTGATGGGGCGCTCATGGATGCTGTTAATTCAACAAAAGCAAAAACGGAATGGCAATCGCATTTTCGTTTTTGTAGGCTTCCAAAACTAAATCGGTTCATCCATTGAAAAAGCGTTGAATCGGAACTAAGTAAAACGATTTCACCAAACAAACGGAAAAAATAGCATTCCAACTCAATAAAATATCTTCCATAAAAATTAACAATGAGAAAAAAATATTTAAAAAAAAATTAACAACGATCAAATTAAGCAATAAAAAAAAATGTGTTATTTTAGCAAGATGAAATGAAAATCTCTCTCGCTCGCCTATGTCATAAAATGTTCGTATTTTTCAAAGATAAATTTATTAAATTCATTGGCAAATTTTGTGTGTGCGATTTTTGTTTCTGTGCTTCATTGCTGTGCCTCCGGATTCGCTCGAATAGTTTCGTTGGAAAGATGACAGCTGAATGATGATTTATGAAAAATCTATTCATTGTAGCATTTTTCATTTCGTTTTTCTTCTTCTCTTCTCTTAACGATGTAAACGGACCAGGCCAAATTGATAAATTTAGAAATTTGCTAATTTCTCTATGTGTATTTTTGCGATAATTTGGCACCGGATCTAATGCACCAAAAGTCCCTCCGAACTTTATTTCTCTACTAATTGCAATCGCTTCATCTCCGTTATTCTATATGTAATTATGCACACATTTTCCACAGATTGGCAAAGATTTCAAATTCTCAATATTATGTGCTTGTGAAAATATGTGCGTGTATGCGCGTTGCTTAGCTTTTTTCAATATGGATTTTTTTTTTCATTCAGCAAATTAACATCGTTTTCAAATTCCAAAAATTACATGTGAAAATATGACAAACCACAGCAGAAAAAAAAATATGTTCCGTTAATGAAACTTTCATGTTCGTTGGCGGTGAGTGTGGTTGTCGCAAGCGAGCGCACATACGATCAATTCAATTCAATGGGTCTCACTTGGTTTCTGCAGCCACAGAAATGACTTAATAAATTTTCAATGACTTTGTTGCACACATTTGGGCGCTGAGAAAGTCAGAGCGTGCAAAAGAGAAGAAAAATTTCAATGTTTGACATATGATTAATAATGAACGTTCGATGTTTAAATTGCTCGAAATTAGTACAATTCGAAACATATATATTCTAGGCACCTGTTTGTATCAGTTCCGTCAAGCGTCGACTTTTTTTTCTTTCCATTTCGCAAGCAAGAAAACGCTGCGACCGAAACTGAAACAGAAACTCACACAGTCAGTCTTTGAAGATACTTTGATATACAATTGGAACTAAGATGCATTTGCTCTAGTTCTACTTTACCAGGTCGCATTAACAAAGTAATTTACTTCACTGTTTCAACGATAATAAATGATGCAGTCAGAAACACTTCCGGTTCAAAAATTCAAATATTAAAATAACAAATTGTGACGATTCATCGGTTAAATTAACTCGAAATCATGAAGCACTCGCAATTACGAATTCATTTCGAATTATTATTCCATAATTTGTTCACACCATTTGTTATACATTTGATACCTACTTAAGCGGTTTGTGGGCTTAATATGAGTCTAAAGTCTGGTGTTTAACGGAACTGGTTTACCGTTCACACAATACGAAATGGAAAAAATTACAGCAAGGGCTACAGTCACCCCTTTTTTTCTCTCACCGTCGTTTCGAATAATGATTAATTATTGTATTATCCATGAACAATATTGGAAGTGAAAGCATTGGCCTCGAAACAAATATTATTGTGATAATTATCGCATTGTGAACTGCAACAAGTTTTTCTTTATCTAAAATATCAATATCAATAGGACAAACTGAAGCATTAGAGGTATACTCAAATAATAATTGTTCTTCGATAACAACCATTCAGAGAGTATCAAAAACAATGAGATGTTATCGCATGTATAGCGGAATGATCAAGTAAAAAATTTATCAAATTTTATGTTTTATATTCGATTTTTCGATAGATTTGATGGAAGTTTTGCCTGATGAAATATTTTACTCAAAATGATTTGCAATTTTGGTAATTTTCTTTTCTTTTTCATCCTCTTGATCTTTTAACTCTGGTCCTAATTTTTTTAGACCTAGAAACTGGGGGACGGACACAAAATCTAGTAAAATCTAGTTTCATATTTTACTGCTAATTTTGCTGATATTTTTCTAATATTAATAAAAAAATCTACTATTATAACTATACAGAAATACTAATATTGCTAATATTATTAGCAATTGCTAATATTAGTTCACTAGTATAAACGTCAAACGTCAAATAGCTGATCTCAAAGTGAAATCATGTATGAATTTTTCATAAATTCTTAGATGAACATTTAAAAATTTTTTATTTTTCCTGATTTAGAAAAAATAAAATTTATTTCTATTAAATAGTAAAACACTTAAAGTAACAAAAAAAGTTTGCGGTGAGCAAAGTGCGCAATTCTCTAACAAGCAATGGTGAAGCAAAACAAACTAATTTTTGCTAATATTTTGCTAATATTCTAATATTTATAATGGTGTCCGTCCCCTAGCCTAGAAACACGCATTTATTTTTCAAATTTGCAAAATTGCTACCCTCAGTGGAGTAATGAGTATATTCAAATTTTACCTTTGAAAACCCCCTTTGTTTTGTTTGTACACTCCCAAAAAAAAGTAAAGCTATTCTTTTTTAAAAAAAAGTTGGCTTGATAAAATACTGACCTTATGGTGAGTAAATAGCTGAAAATATAATTTAAAGATAAGAATTGACAAATAATTTGTTCCATTTTCATAATTTTATTTAAATAAAAAGAATTAATAAAAAAAGGACTTATTTCAATCAAACTCTATTTGTTAACACTGGTGATCTATTTTTACTTAGCTGTTTTTTATGATCTATCTTTGTAAGCTAAACTTATATCTTCTTTACAATCATTTTTTATTTACGAAAATAGTAAAAAACTTTTTTTTAAATAAATTCTTAAGAACAACTTTTTTTCGAACTTAATCAATTTAATTTGTAAAACTTATTTAATTCCAAGAAAAGAGCGAACAAGAAATGCGTATATTATTTTAATAGTTAGTATTCCTTCCTAGAAAGTGGATTTGATATGACTCCTTTACAAAATTGTGCGACATTTTTCGTAAAATTTTAAATGCCACATTTTTCCCTTGAATCTACAAACTAATAACTAATGATAAACTATGGCCGTTTTGTATTTTTTTGAATATCTAACCAATTGCGATTCTTTTCTAAAATATCGTCTGGCACATAAACTTTTCCGCAACCAAATCCAATCTTAACATTAGCTCGATTCCTAGCCAAATTCAAAACTGATTCGTAGCTCTTTAAATCGACATTTAACACAGATATAGATGCAACGAGTTGATTTAGATTTTTACCATATTTCAAAATATTTTCAATGCCCGACATATTCAATGCTCGTAAACTTACAATTTCCATTCGTTCGAGTGTTGTTTGTTTTTTCATCACATTCACCAGTTCATCGATGCAAACATCATCACTCCAAGTGAGTATGTCCAATTGTTTGAGTGCTTTTAACGATAACCATTGTTCATTATGATATTTCAATGGGCCAACTGAGCACACTTTCATTGATAGTTTTTCGATTGCGATGCCATTTTTGGCAAATAAATTAACAATTGATGCCAACGAAATGAAACAATATAAATCTAATTTCAAACTTCGTAATTGCCGTAATGTACCCAAATGCAGAAGATTTTCTTTAACATGCTTTTGTGGAAAAGCGTCAAAATGTGGTGTTTCCACGGTTAGATTAACTAAATTTGGTGCACATTTCGCAATAACACGAAAAATTGATGGTGACCCACAACAATTTACTACTAATTCTTGCAATTGAGTATTTGACGACAACAAATCCGACAGTGCATCGTCCAAACTGCGTCCATCTTGAAAACGTCTTAAATCTCTTATGCGTAGAGTATTTAATGTTGTAACCAGTCGAAAGTTTTGAGGCGAAATACGGCACATATCCAATGTTTTTAATTCTTTAAATGGCATCTGATCGCCGAAGTTTGGATTGTAGTCGATAATACTGAGCTCGGCCAATGTTTCACCGCATGCATTTGTAATCAAACCGAATATGTAGTCATCTTGCTCCACATCAAATGTTGACTCAAATGTAATTGATTGCATTAAAGGACCAAAGAGATCAAATAATTCCTGTACTCGTTCAAGTGGCACAGAGCTATCTTTACCATTGATTTTAATGCATCGAATCTGTGTCCGAAAACAATTCTTGGCACAATTTTGAAATCGTTGGCAGACCTATACGAAAATATTTATTTATTAATTTACAAAACATGATTAATGTAAGTCTTCTGTCAAACTCCAATATGCATTTTAATGCGAGTAAGAGAGACAACCATATATAGATTACAATTCATAGATTTTGAGCAAGGGTGCCAGGGTGCAAATAAATTTTGATCCGATTAGAACAAAAAAATCCCTTTTTCCTAGAGTTTTTGACGAGTAAAAATTTACACCGGATAGATTGCACTTTCTACCCTCTTCAAATTTTCGCAAATTCTCAAATTTACTTAAATCGTCATCTATGCTTCACCTACTTCTATTTGAGATTTGCAAATCGAGAAAAAAAAATTTGAGTAAGCGCTAAGAGACCGAATATATTTGCTTTGCTCAATGTGGTGTATGTGATTACGATTTGCTATTTTTTGATGAATACACATGATAATTTTAATGTTACCCATACTTAAAATCATAAATATCAGTGCGTAGTTAAAATTGATTTTTAAAAAAAATTGTAAATTTATTACCTGTGCCATATTTAAAAAGTCCGTTACATTTTTTACCCGCCGAAAAACCTCCTCGATACAATCATTGTTAAGCATATTCAATATATTATAGGGTGAATTCTCGGCACTGATTACCAACCAATTTTTAAAATATGTTATGAAATCCATTCTTCAAATTCAAAATAACCGTTTACGAAACACTGAAAACAATTACTCCTATGAATAAAACACTTTTCGCAAAATATTGACAGAAAAGATAAAAAAATATTTGCTTCAATTTGATACTGATTTCATATTATAACTTTCAATAATTTTGACAGTATTTTTCGACAAAATTGTTTCTTAGTAAAAAAAAATGAAGTGCAGTGCTCGAATAGTGTTAACCTACGAATGAATTCTTTCAAAAATGTAAAAAAAATTGCAGTCGTTTGGAAAACAATGAATGCAACATAACAACGAAACAATGTGTTGCCACTAATATACATATGTTGTCCACCAATATATAAACAATTTTTAGTCCATATATGTATATATACATGTGTGATACATATAGTAGTGTGTTAAAAATGTCAAAATGTTGCACCCAAACCTATTGGTGTGAAGTGATTAGGAACATTCGAAATGTGTGTGCTCTTATGTAGGTATACAACATTCATTAAATCGGTCACAAAGTTCATTTTCGTACACTGTTGTGATATTTATGGAGACTTTTTTATGTATACATTTAACTAATCGTTGATATTTTCATACACACGACACAATAACAAAAACCAATTGCTATCTCTCCACAAAAACAATACCAACCTCTTATTTTGATATCTGTCAAACTAGCATTATCATGGAAAATTTCAAATATTTGTACGTTAAAATTACTTGATATGATAACATTTTCAACAATGCACATGATTGCAGAGACATCGATAGAAAACCGGCAACACTTATATCACAAGAGATTTTTGACAACAATATAACTTACTGCCCCTACCGAGTTCAATTCATATTTTCATTTCGAATTTTTGATTAAAGTGTAAAATAGTTCGAAATAAAAAAAAAAATTTGAATTTCCTCCTTTCTTCACCATAAATTGCACCATCTCACACTCAATTTAAATGCCCTTCGAATACAAACAAAAGATCTTATTGTACTGCCGCTTCAAATGCCTGATCTAATAATATATTTTTTTGCAAATAAATAAGAAAGATGGAGAAATCATCCAAGTTCGATTTATTCTGTGGCATGGTTGCCATTAAATTGAGGTCGAGACACTCAGCGTTATCATTAAAGGTTGTGTAAGTGGTTTAACGGTTCAAAATATGGTTGCAAGAATGGTCCATAACGAAGGCAAAATGATATATACGCTTTATTCGACGGAGCAATATTGGTGGTTGTGTACAAGCACTCGATTGTACGCGCTGATTAACGCCAAATACCCGAACAATGCACGTGGATACGAATGGTTTTACAATTCAGTGTGCACAGCATGCGCGCAAGCATCAATTGTAACATTGTTCATGGGCTAGATTATTTGAAGAGAGAACGAGAGCAATAAGTGTTTTCTATGCGGCATAAGAGTTTTGGTGTTTTGTTTCTTTTGAAATCGTTTTCCTTAACAACATTAAATAATCCTTTTATTTTGCAATGAGTTCAGGCGGGCGGAGGAGCACACGAAAGATGCATTGCAATTACGAAACTCAGTATGACATAACGGGTTGATGCACATACAAAATATATTTGAATTATTACAATTTTTCTACATAATTTATATATTATCCATGTAATTTCTTTCATTATTTCTCTTTATTTTGTGTGTGTGTGTGCATGTTCTGTTGCATTGCCCTCTTGCACCTTTCGCACTTGTTTTCATATTCTTTGTTGCCGTGCATTCGTTTTCTTTTTATTGTGTGAAATTGTGTTAGATTAATGCTTGTTCGCACGTACTTTTTTTGTTAAATAATAATTTTCTATGTCTTCTCCCGATATCATATTTGCAATGCGAACACCACACTAAATACCACAAATATAAAAAGAGAAATGAAATGCAAGAAAGAACAACACGCGCGACGACGAAACACAAAACAGTGTTCAATGTGAAGAAATTAAAGCAAAGAGCATACATTAAAAAAAAAAAAAATCAACATCGAGAAATATAACTAGGCGATGTCGAGAAGAAAAAAAGCATACAGAATCCACGGTAAATGTTGTGTAACAGGGCCTTGTATGATACAAACATTCCTTTTGGAATAAATTCTTTAGTTGTTACCGTTGATGCACACAGTCACTTGCTGCACTCACACACGACTTGATCTACAATATGTAGCAAGAGATATATGCGACCGCTGATATGCGCGCACTGATTCGATATGCATTAACGCCGTCACAGTTCGCAGGCCACATCAACAAGCCTAGAACAATATCCACGCATTATTATTGAAATAAGCACAGTGTGCATGAATTTTGTTCTTTCATTCTTATTCGCTTTTTCTTTCTTTTCGCGCTCTCTCTCTCTCTCCGTGCATTTTTCGCTTTTCACCCGTTCATTCGATGTGGCACAAGTGAAGCTTTGTTTTCTTTCGTTTTGTTTTGTGTGCGCGTGCACCGAAAGGGATAAAAAATATGTTAAGAAACAAAAGTTGAAAATTAAAAAGAAGCAAAAATGGAATGAAACGAAACAACATTGTATCAAAGTATCAAGCGTGTGCTTAACACACACACACAAAAAGAGAAGACATTGAATGGAAAAAGGACAAAGGCTGAACAAACGTTCTCATTCTGATACAAAAAATAACACCAATGTAAAGCGATGAAGAAGAAGGAGATGGAAAAATGTTCTTCTAGACTTGACTGGAGAAATGTGCGGCAATGTATGCAATCTAGATGAAAATTTCCAGTAAAATACAATTACACAACACGAAGAGAAAGGAAAGAATAAAAGAAAAAGAATTTCTTTCTCTTCTCGTGAATTTGTTTTTTATTTTGCGATGCGATGCAACAGAAAAAAAGGAACAAAAGAAACAAACAGAAGAGAAAAGAGCAGAGAAAAACGGAAACAAAATCATAATAATAATGCATACTGCAACACAAGAGCCCAACATAATGCCATGTAATTACTTTCTCATTAATTTATATTGTGTGCGCGCCACAGCGGAGGTAACACGCTCTCGCGCCAGCGCGCTCACTCATCAATGCGAGATTTGGAGAGCCTGTAATGCGCGCTCATCGTCACAAAACCAAAGACCATCGAGCTAAAATCACGGACTTAAACAGAATGCAACGGAAACAGTTACAAAGAACAATTTATTGTTTGTACCCTATGTGTGCAATCATATGCAATTATTATCATATTCTGGTGCAACAAGCAAAATTGTTGTGTACTGTGTGTATGTGTCTCTCTTTCTCTCTCTCTCTCTCTGTTTGTGCACTTTATTCACAATGAAAATTTCCATTCGATATGCAACGTCGCATTCATAACACTGGAAAACAAACATCCATTCGCGACAATACTCACACAACACTTAGACAATCTCATGCACAATATGTTATCGTTTTATTGTTTCGCATAAATTGTTATTCGCTATTGAGATGAATAAAAAAAAACAATGTAAATAAATAACCATTGCTTTGGGTTTTTCCTGATGGATTTTCTTATGTTTCGAAGGAGTTGAGTTTTTTTACACCAAAATAAACATTAAACGCACGAAAGGACAGCATAAGAAACTCAAGTATTTGGTCACCAACAGGAAAAAAGCATTTTGAATGAGCACTTTAAAAAAATCTGTTTTTTTTGTTCACAATTTTGATTGAAACTAAATGAAAACCATAACTGATGCAATTAATTAAGGAAATAAATTGTAGTAAATAGAAAAAAGATGTTTGTTAGTTTGTGTGCATGCAAAATCATAATTAAATTCTTGAAAAGGTTAATTTGGCTGTGAAATGCGTTGGTTCGTGAATGAAAAGTATGTGGACGATTTTATTGTAAAATTGCCTTTTTTTCTGATGCAACTGATTAATGCTCGCCGATGTGTGTCTGTGTAATATATAGAAATATTTTAAAATCTTGTTGCCATTAGGAAAAGACACACTCTTCAATCGAGAAAAAGAAAAATGCATGACTTTTTTCAAAGCTTGCGTATATTTTCAAAGCAATGAGTTTCATTCAGTTGGCGTTTATGTGGAGTTTTTTTTTCCTCTAAAAAGTTGCATACTACAAATAATAGACTAAAAGCCAAAGTGAAATCAGTAAACGTAAAAGATCCCCGAAAGCAAAAGGGACAGTGTCACACTGATACGACAGTAAATTTGGTAGAAAAAAACGGTCTCTACTATAGAGTGTGAGCAAAAAAAAATCTCCAGAAGTCACTTGAATATTTGCCGAATCGTAAAAATTAAATGATATCATTAACTGGACTTTATGTTTGCTCGGTTTCCATCCATTTCGACTCCCCTCAATGTGTGTTTGTGCATGACTTGAATGCGCTTCGTTGATCAACGAATGCACTGAGGCTGAAACAGTGTGTACTTTTACCACTGTGGAAGTCGTGCATTATCCTCTGCTCACTGTTCGGTGTATGTGTTTTTTCGTTCTTGTTGAAATATTTTGCAGGCATCGAAATGGCCAGGCAATGAAAGAAAAAATGATTACGAACAATATTCAATTTTATTTAAGCAATAATAGAATTTGTTCGCTGCTGCTTTGTCACACATACAAACTCTTATGCCATTTTTCACTTGCTCTCTCATTCATTGCTAAGATTTCTCTAATTTGTCATTCACTTTTGAGCTATCGCTTTTGAACTACCTGCGTTATTTCTGTATTAAAAATGCATAGAGCGGACACGCACACACACACAAGTGGAATTTTCCCAAATGCAAAAACATTTAGAGATTAATTGAAAGGATTTGGTATACGATTTTTTTGTTGTTGTTGCCTAAAAAAACATGAAATTAGTTGCACGCGACTAAATTTCAGAAAGAGTGAAAGGTCCATTTCTGCGGTTAAATAGAATGAATCAGTAAAAATGATGAAAAATGCATATAACCGCCGCCAGTCAGTTCAAATGAACTACGCTTTGGTTGACAAAAACAAAGTGGGCTTGAGTCGTTAACACCGGTGAAACGATATGAACGAGAATTGAGTTTTGCGGTCAAAACACACTCAAATTGCTTGACATATTGAAGTTCATTCGTGTGCATAGAGTCAAGTGGTGCAGGCACTTTTAAATTTATTCGATTAAACGGTATTTAGAAATTCAATGAAATCATTTTGTTATGAACTTTCTCTCTCTCACTCTTCTCTTTTGATTTCTTTCTAC